CAGACTGTGTATGCGAATATAGGCTGTGTATGCGAATGGAATACGTACAGAATACAGGTGCTCCAGCCAGTGTTTAGTACACAAGAACCGATGGTGCAGTGGTTCAGTAAGTCACGGCGAAATGTGAAGACGTGTGGTTCGATTCCTTCCCGCTCCCCTATCCAAAATCATTTGCAAAAAGGACTCTCCACGAGACGGCTAGACTGCTATGATAACGGTCTGCATCTTTCTTAGAGGGCACTTGTGGCTGAGAGAAGCAGGAGTTATGTCTGAGAGTGAATCTTGTAAGCTGTCGTTACCGTACGGTTTATAATGAGCTTTACTGGTACTGTGATAATGAAATTCCAGGAGGAATTTCGCAAAAAAAAATTAATTTTCTTATTCCATCATCTTTCCTTTTTTTCCCTGAAGGGCTTACTAGTTCAGCGGTTTTTTTCTCAAAAGCAACTGATCGTTTCAAAATACTCTCGGTGTTTGTTGAGCACCATCATTTGTCAGGACATCGTCACTCCTAGATCATAATGAGCAACCTCATCAGCTGGGAGTACCACATGTTGTTATCATAACTTTCATAGTTAACTACTAGTTTTTGCCATTTTTTTCGCCATAAAATTAACAATTGGCCAACGCACGGGCTGCCTATGCAAAGGTGCGTTTTTTGCGTAGCTCCCCGCAAATTTTTGTCGCACTGGTTTTTCCAGCAGATGCTTCTAGCTAAAAGAATTTCAGGCCGGCGCAAAACTGTCAGGAAACAACTCTTCAAAATTCCAGTCTTCTAGCTTCTCACGTCCTCGAGTTAGTAACTTACCCGGAAGAAACTTTCACGAGCCCGTACGTAGGTACTACCCTTACCCGCGGGCAGGGTTTGAACTCGTTAATAACCAGTTGGGCAGGGGACATCTCCCAAAGATTTCAGCGTTCTAGCTTCTCAGATTCCCGAGTTATGAACTTATCCCGAAAAAACTTTGGCAGGCCCGCAGCGGGTATCACGCGGATGATGGCGCCCATTTGGGGATTGGAGCCGGCACGTGCATGTAGATTAAGTTCCCGAATTTCCAACCCTGTGCTTTTATAGGTCTTGAGATGAAAGTGCGTGACAGATGCACACACAGACACGTAGACAACCCCTCGTCAGTATGCGTTTTTGCATTGCACAGCTGCAAAAAATGCATAACAATTAGAATTATAGGTCATCAGCTAGTCCATTTGTTTGCGTGAATTTTAGATAGTTGCGAAAAATAATTACTTCCCATTAGTGTTCATTATGAATGACCTCTTGAACAGCTTCTCATTTTCAGCAAGCAATCTATCGAGAGGGCGATTCACGTCTGAATTATCAGCTGAATTCGGCGGAGCTTCGCGCACTTGACGTCGTTAGTAACATTTTCAAATCATTGATAATTTTTTGCAATATGTATGATTTTGTCCAAAAATTTTTACACGCTTCTTTTTTTTTTTTAAAAGGCATGCTTCATGTAAAGTTGATAATGTCCGTGCTTGCTCTTTTCAACCGTTAAAATCAATTTCAAGCATATTTGGTAGGCTCGTTGCCCGTTTCCTCAAGACTTAGCATTTTCGTTCCGTACTGCTCCTCCTGAAATGATTTACTTCTGAACTGCTCTCCATATTGCTCCCATGTAAATTTGTTTTCGGCTCTAACCCCTTCTTTGCGCTTGAATGAGGCTGATTTAGGTTCGTGATGCATTTGCTTGCATGAATGAGCCGATTGAAGATCCAAGAAAAGTAGCATGTTTAAAAAAGGCCAGTCATAATCCCACTGATATATTGAACATCATGGATATTACAATGCGTAGACTGGTTAAAATGGCTAAGAAATTACCAGCATTCAATGATTTGTCGCAAGACGGGAAATTCGCATTGCTCAAAGGCTAGTTCGTTTGTTTTAAATTTTTTGATTGCTTTTGAGTCAGTAAAGACTGGGAGGAAAGAAAAAACAGTTTTAGCTATTAATCTAATAACTCACTAACTGAAATTAAGATAATCATCCAAACTGGATTTTATAGAGCTAATCTGGATTTTTGTACTTTTTTTTTTTGGATTTCTGAAGTTCTTTTTAAAGTTCTTCATAAAGTTTTTTTAATTAATATTTTTGGGTCTATAGTTTTATAAATATGTATACGTACTTGTCGACAACTGGTGGACGTCTCGCATTAGTGAGTGTGCCCGCGAGGAAAAAAAACCTATCATTCTGGGGGTCCTCAAGGAGGTAGCACATGTACATCGAACAGGAAATGGATGCTAATTGGAAATATGCTGCCTAAAACCGACGATTTTGGTCTAACTGTGACTGGCGTTTTGAAGGCATTCCAGTACATAATTGTTATCGGATACTCACACCAGTGCCCGAACAACGTTGATGTTTTTTGCATCAGCATACGTATGCTTGTAAGTTTGCCAGATCATTCACAAGAACTGACACTGTTGCTGCTACAGGAGGCATGGTGGAAATGTTGACAATGCGAGGAGTAACTCGTTTTGATATGGATCAAAAGTGTTGGCGGACTCCAGTTGTTCCCGAAAACTATCAGATTTCGCTGGGAATGTTCGATCAGTTGAAAGAGGGTCTTCGAGACCGTCAGAAAGACGGGTTTCTGAAGTATTTTTTTTAAAGTTTTTTATTCTTTTTTATATCGTTTTGAACTAATCTCATCGTACGAACATATCACAGTTCCCTAATACATTTTCAATTCGTTTATTTTATTTACATTTTAGCTAAATTTGAGAAATGACTTTAAATTGAGCAGGATTTTGGGCGTAAACTTTCCTTTGACTCAAGCCATTTCTGGGTGTTGAACTCTCAGACAGAATACTATGAACATATTTTCACATTTTACTCCAAGAATGAGATTTAGGTGTCTCTTTTTGACCGGGACCTGCAGTTTAGCCAAATAGACTCCTGTGCCGAAAATATATGAGAATTTAGTTTTTTTTTTTACTTCCAAACATGCCGAACCTGCAAATTTCGTATTAAAGCGAATTTTTGAACATTGCCCGCTTCGAAATTTAGACCTTGAGCCATGAGTAAAAACCACTCTAGCATCCATCAGCTACACAGTCTGTAGATACTTTTCTTTCGAGCAGAAAGCTTTTTATAATTACGTTGCACCCATGGAACTAAATGGGTTTCAGGTTTTGCCAGTCATTGCATCCGGACATTCGTAATAATGAGCTAGCAATTGACTTGATTGTGCTTATTGTACTGTTCGATTCGAATCGCGATGCACTTCTCGACCCAGCTGATCGTATTACTGTTGCACGGCACTGTCAGGAATATCAAGCTCTTCTGCATCGGTGTGAAATTTTCCGTTTTTTATCTAAAAGCAGTAGTTTTTTTTGGAATTTTTTTGGTCCATATTTTTGGAATCATTTCAATTTTCAATTTATGAAATGATACTCATACTTAATTACAAGTACTGAACAAAAACTGGAGACAACAGGCATAGGATATGAGGGCCTGGCAAACTTGCTTGACATGCGAGTGCGCCAGAGTAGGAACTGGAATCCCGTGCTGTTAATCCGGATCATGTGATAACAGACATTTTATCCGCTCAATTTTCTGTCTGCTTGCGAAGAGATGATGATTTATTTAGTTGTGAAAGTGGCAGAAAACTAGATATGGGATTATTGTGATTTTTGAGATTTAAAAAACTTTTTTATTGGTATTTATCAAGCGAAATTTATAAACATTTTTTTTAATTCGTAACGGCAATTTTTGACTACCGAAAATAATTTTAAATATTTAAACAAGGGAAAAATTCGTTCCTTCAACAATAAAGGCCAAAGGTGAGAGGCCTACTACAAATTGTAATCAGCCTGATTTACAAAATTTTCCTCTTTCTTTATCGAACCTGCCAGCAGTCTGTTTCTAAGCAATTCTCGAAAGAAGAAGCCATCGTCAGCCTTGCCAGTGGATGGTTGCTATTCCTCTCTTAGTGAGTGAATAGGGAGGGAAATGTTTGTCTTTTTGACTTTATTTCTCTCCCCATCCTGTACTTTTTCAGCATAACTCCAACTGAGATTACATTTTTTTTAGCTATATGGAATCGATGTACGGCTATGATGCACGTTCCCGGTATGAGAATTTGCCGG